TAATTAACACAATTATAATAATGACGAGTATTTAAAATGTTGGTAAGCCACCAACAACCTAAAATTATGACAAATTATCATTAGGTGTATGTGTGATCTACCGACTACATATTCTTATGTATGTTACTTAAAATAGCACGTTTGAAAAGTATACTGAGAAAAAAAATTAACTAAATAGATATTGGATTTTGTGGCAACTTAACAACAATTCTACGATCATTACTGTATTTACGCTATTTACTGTCATAGAATATATTTTGTAATTGGAGTTTATTCCATGTTAGATAAACACATAATAATTATAATTTATAATTATTATTATTGTTAAAAGCAAATATCGATAACTTTTGTGAAATTATCTAATCTAATAAAGTAATAAATCAAAAGTATAATCAATATYGAATTGTTTTTTTAATGATATTCAAAATTTATACTGAAATCGAAAAAAGTTTAAATCGATATTTACCTATATTTCAAAATAATAACCATTTTACTATTATTTTCAGGTTAGTAGGTATATAAATCGATTTAAAATTCAAAATTCAACAATGTACAGGTACATCGGTGAAACCCGAAAGCGTAAATCCTTTTTTTTCAATAACTCAAAAATGAAAAACATTTTGAATTGAGCTTTTGTCCCTTGGTAGTGCCATAGTGGCATAAAAGCGCAAAAATAACAATATTTATATTTTACTACTCAGTAGGTATTTCTTAACGCACTTACACTTTTACGCATCGTGACGGTTATTAGTTTATTACCTACATTTGTCTGTGTCTTATCGTAACACGTTACGATGACGATTGATAATCATTTAAGATATAGGTACAATATATTATAATAGTATACATAGAGTAAAAAATTACATTATATGGGATTTTTGAGAACTATACAGATTATTACCTATATGACATATTGAGCCATTTTATTTTCAATTAAAATTTGAATGAACTATTTTAAATTGTATATCAGATATCTACTAATATTAGTTTTTTTGGGTCATATTTTGCACTTRTGGGCTACAGCGGTATTAAAGGTACTTACGACGTATCTATACCAGATTTGCGAAAATTCCACGCAGCACCGAATTTGTCTCCCAACACTGATAAAACAATTTATTTAGGAGCGTTATTGYTTATAATTATAATTGAATATTTGAATGTATGAAATTTCACACTTTTTATGAAATTTATGCAAAACTCTAAAATAATTAGCGAGTACTCACTACTCAGAGTATCGACATACGTACCTAACTATAAATAGATGCCTAATTATATCTAGGTCTTTAAGTTAAGGGAATTTGGGATAGACTATTGATATTTTTAATAAAAAAATAAGGTATACATTATTGGGTCATAATATATTGGGTATTGTTCCATTACTATATTTTCATAGTTTTTATGAATCTCTTCATTCTAAACAGGTAATTAAATATTTGAATACTTTATTTTATTTTTGTATGTTTCTTTTAATTTAATTATTTTGGTATAATATTTTGTGTTCATAATTTATATTTATACATTAAACGAACAAAAAAAAAAAGCCGTGCAACGATCTGGTTCAACTGGACGCGATTGAAAACGCGTTTTAAACGGTATTATTCTGCTAAAGATTACAATATAMGTAACAGGAATACATGCTGGGATGGATGTTAAACGAATAGCCTATGGACCATCGAGTTGTCGACGAGTGCAACTGAAACTAAAATCGAAGAATGAGCAGCTCAGTCCATGCGACCCTGGTACGACTGATTTAGTTTTGACTTCTTTTCGGCRAAATTTAACCCAATATAAACGGAATTTATAATTTTTAATTAACTACGTAGCATAAACGAAAATCGTCGACCACGTCCGCCGCGGCGTTCGGAACATCGTTGGCTTTGTAGCAAAATCTTCCTAATCATTAACTATTTTAAATTGAATATTTATAAATTCTAGATTCTGAGCCATATTATATGATATATTGCCATATCCAATATTCACATGCCTTGTCTCCGTTTTA